CAAACTGGGCAAACTGGGGGCTGCACATCCAAACTGGGCCTTGCTGGGGACCCTGCCTGGCCACTGCCAGCCCTTGGGGCTCCTCTCGGCACATCCGCCGGGGGGGAACGCACACAGGGCTGGGGGATCCCAGCAGAGGCAGCACTGCCAGGGACTGGGCTGGACTGGGATCCTACTGGGAGTGACTGGGACTGTACTGGGTTTGTACTGACATCCTACTAGGATCGTACTGGGATTGTACTGGGTTTGTGTTGATATTATACTGGGAACATACTGGGAGTGGCTGGGATTGTACTGTGTTGGTACTAACATCGTACTTGGATCGTACTGCCATGCCAGGCCAGCATGTGATCGCACTGATGGACACTGGGATCATACTGGGATCATACTGGGAGTGAGCAGGAGCCTGTGGGGAGCAATTGAGACCATGTTAGCGGCAAATGGGATACACTGGGAGTGACTGGGATTATACTGAGGATGACTGGGAGTAGCTGTGAGCAAGTGGGGACATGATAGGAGCAACTGGGAGGAACTGGGAGTGACTGGCTGCATGCTGGGGGTGATTGGAAACTGCTGAACTTCAACTGGGATCATGCTGGAGGTGACTGGGATCATACTGGCAGTGAGTGCCACTACACTGAGGCTGACTGGGAGTGCTTGTAAACAAATGGGATCATACTGGAAGGAAGTGGAAAGATGCTGGAGGGAACTGGGGTACACTGGGAGATACTGGGAGTGACGGGAAGGAAAGTGAGGGTGAAAGAGAGCAACTGGAACCATGTGGAGCACAACTGGTTCATACTGGCAGGGACTGGGAGCACACTGGGCTCATCTTTGGATCATACTGGCAGGGACTGGACTAATACTGGGAGTGTCTGAGAATGACTGGGAACACACCCTGCACATCATCCCCCATACTGGACCTGACTGGGAGTAACTGGGAGCATGCATGGAGCAAATGGCATCACACTGGGACTGACTGGGCTGATCTAGGAAGCAACTGGAACCATGCTGGATGCAGCTGGGACCATACTGGGAGAGACTGGAAGCAACTGGGATTATACTGGGACCACACTGGGAGAGCGGGCATGTGAATGGGATCAAACTGGAGCTTACTGGGATGATACAGAGGTTGAAAGGGAGCAGCAACTGGGATCACACTTTGGGCTACTGGGAGCAACTGAGGGAAACTGGGATGATGCTGCAAGTAAACTGGAGGAACTGGGAAGGACTGGATGCATGCTGGAGGCAACTGGGATATTCTGGGCATGACTGGGGGATCATACTGGGAGAACTTACACCTTACTGGGGCCACTGGCAGTGCCTGGAAATGACTACAGACATGCTGGGGGCAACTGGGATATACTGGGAGTGTCTGTCACCATCCTGGGGGGACTGGAACCACACTGGGAACAACTGGGACCATGCTGGGAAGAACAGGGCCCACACTGGGGGCAACTGGGAGTGAGTGGGTATAGTAGGAGTCCTAGTAAAATATATGTATTGTATAAGTGGCCGTGCCCTGATCCTAATTGTAAATGGGCTGCAGCTGTGATGTCCTTAATTGGGTGGCTGCTGTGGCTGATGAAGATAACTGGGATAAAAGGGAGTGGGTTGGCCGTGCAGGGAGAGTCTTGGAGGAGCCCTGACCAAGAAGCAGGAGCAACACTGCTGTGAAGAGCTGTGTGTGGGAAGAGCACCGTGAAGGTATGGGACTCTAGAAATATAACAACAGCAATAGAAGATAGGACAGCTGAGAGCTGTGGCAGCCTGAGAGCTGGGACTCTAGAAATATAATAACAACAACTGGGACCATGCTGGGAGGGACCGGGATCATCTGGGGAGTAACTGGGACTAGAGCAGGGACAACTGGGTTCAACTGGGACCATACTGGGAGTGTCTGTAACCACACGGGAGTGATGGAAGCACACTGGGAACAGCTGGGCCCATGCTGGGAGCAACTGGGATCACACTGGGGGCACTGGCATCAGACTGGGAGTGACTGGGAGCAACTGAGATTAGACTGCAGGTTACTGGGATCATACTGGGATTACACTGGGTGTGAATGGAACCTGACTGGGGCTTACTGGGAGCTACTGGGCCCATGTTGGGAGGAAAATGTTACACACTGGGAGCAACTGGGATCGGCTGGAAGGTTCTGGAACCATGCTGAGAGGACTGAGAGTACAATTGGGACAACTGGGATCATACTGGGAGCAACTGGGGCCACCCTTTGAGCAACAGATGGAAACTAGGATTGTGCTGGAGGAAACTGGGAGCAACTGGGAAAGACTGGGATCATTCTGAGGTAACTGAAACAAACTGGGAGTGTCTCTAACCATACTGGGGGGACTGGAACCACACTGGGAACAGCTGGGATCACACTGGGAGCAATTGGGACAATGCTGGGGGAAACTGAATCTACCCTGGAGGCAACTGGGCACGACTGGGACCCTGCTGGGAGAGACTGGGACTGTTATTGGGGCAACTGGGATCATAATGGGAGGAACTGGAAATATCTGGAATTATGCTGAGAGCAACTGGGATCACAGTGAGAGCAGCTGAGTCCATACTGGGTTACACTGGGACCGCATTGAGAGCGACTGAAATCATACTGGGAGTGACTGGGAGTGGCTGGTTTTGTGGATTTTGGGGGGTTTGGATTTTGGGGGATTTTATTGGCATTTTAAGGGGGAGTTTTTCTGGGGGTGTTTGAGGGTTTATTGAAATTTTTGTAGCTTTTTTTGAATTTTGGGGATTTTACTGCGATTTTGTTGGGATCTTTTGGGATTCTCAATGATTCTGGGGGTTTTATTGGGATTTTTAGGATATTTTGGGGTATTTTATTGGCATTGTGGAGCCATTTAGTGGGGTTCATTGGGGTTTTGGGGTTTTTCGGGATTTTTGGTGGGATTTGAGGGGTTTTGTGGGGTTTTTTGGGTGTTGCCAGGATTTCTTTGGATCTTGGGGGAGATTTTGTGGGACTTTTTATGGTTTTGGGGACATTTTTGGGGGATTTGAGGAGTTTAATCAGGATTTTTGGGATTATTGGGATTTCAAAGGATTTTGTGGGCTTTTATTGGAATTCTAGGGTGTTCTAATGAGATTCTGAGAGATTTAATTGGGATTTAGTGGGTTTTATTTGGACTTTCGGGGGCTTTAAGGAGATTTTGGTGCCTCTCAGCTCTTCCCCACACCAAGGGAATGCCCCAAAAGCCCCCCAAAATTCCATGAAAATCCCCAATAATTACAAGAAAACCCTCAAAAACCCCAGAGAATCTCTGAAAATCCCAGTGGAACTCACCAAGATTAAAAAATACTCCAAATAATTTCAATAAATCCTTTCTCAAGAAACCCCTCACAACCCCAATAAAATCCCCCAAAATACAAAAGCCCGAAAATCACGTAATTCTCGCCCAGTAATTGCATCCCAAAACCTCCAATAATTCCTTTGAAACTGACAATAAAATCCCCCAGAAGCCCAAAAAAGTCACCCCAAACTCCTCAAAACCCTCGCAAAATCCCCCCAGACTCAGTGGGCCTGTCCTGGATCAGGGGTGTACTTGCGAATGCGAAATGTGTGGACATCGACAATGGGATAGTTGTGAATTCTAATAATAACTGAGGAAAATAAAGCATGGGAAAAGGCCTTTGAGCCTATCTTTTGTTTGCAATTAACCCTAGTTGATTTAGGAGCATTGGAATTAAGGTGTTAAGGATGTTCCTTTTTGCTTGCATTTCATCCATAAAAAGCTCTGCAATAATAACCTTTTGAAGTACAATTTTAGAATATTACTTGTATCCTTGAAACTGTAGCTTTGGAATATATATAAAGGAAATATGCTTATCTCATGCCTTATTGAAGCAGAGAAAAACAGCTTGAGAAAGGAAGATGAACATCACCTCAAGGGTTTATGGTTTCAACCAAAGGGAAGCTGGACATCACTGTTATAAGATTTATAGTCTCTGCAATTAAAAGGTGGACACACATCTGGGGAGCTGGACCCCACCAGATGGGATTCGTCTTTCTTCTTTCAGAAACTGGACCGTCACCATCTGGGGATACTCCTTTGAGATACATCCTGAGAAACTAAGATCACAATAGTGTATAGAATCGTGATGTAATAATTTGGAATAAAAATTGCTGATGAGTAAAAAAATTGGAAATAGAAACTGCTGAAAAAGCTGATGAGTACCCCTATAAATACCTGTAACCATCAATTATCGCTGTGCAGTTGGAGGGAAAACTTCCCCCACTGTACCTGGCGCTGTATTGCTCATACTTCACCATATTAAATAATAAATTGATTGCTGCTTTAATATTGGCCTGGTCAAGCTTCATATTCTTAACAGGGAGAAGGTGCAGTTTTAGGATTTGGTGTACTTCTCATTCCCTTCCTCCAATTTATTTGATAATAAATTCAAGTAAAATTAGTGTCCCCATTCCAGGCTTGTTACACTTAAATGGGTGAGAGATCTCTGGCTGCCTTTCTTGAGAGCCCCGAGCCTTTCCTGCTGTGTTCTGTTGCTTGCCCAGGGGCAGGAGCAGAGGCTCCGAGCGCTTTTCCTGACCCCGGGCACCTGGCCTGGCCCAGCCAAGCCCAAGAATCCCTGCGAGAATTCACTGTTGAGAACCCCAGAAGTGGCTTCCCCGGGGCTGCGCTTCTTCCCCAGCTCCAACAGAGTGGAGCCCTTTTTCTTAGCACCCTTTTTCGAGACAAGAACGTCGGTGTCCCCGCGGCGCGCTACTCGCTTTGCCGCCCCGCTCCCTGCTCCCCTACTGCTCGGCATCGCTGCCGCACGCTGAGGAGCCAAAACCCTCCCACAGCGAGAGCCCCGAGCTGCGGCGGCACCAGCCCGAGTGCCCGCGGAGTGTGAGCGCACAGCGGCACCAGCCCGAGTGCCCGCGGAGTGTGAGCGCAGAGCGGCACCAGCCCGAGTGCCCGCGTTGTGTGAGCGCACAGCGGCAGCAGCCCGAGTGCCCGCGGAGTCTGGCCGGGATGGGAGGGGCGGCGGGCGGAGCGCTCCGTTTCATTCCGCAGCGGTGGCGGCGCCCGGAGCCCGGCGAGGCGGCGGCGGCGGAGCCCGGAGGCGGCTCCAGACCAGGTGGGACTCGCGATCGGTGCTGCCCCAGCTCGGGGCTCGCGGTGGGGGGGTCCGCGAAGACGACCGCGGTGAGGGCCGGGGGGACGTGGGGGAAGCCGCCACAAGGAACTCGTGGGAATTGCTGGTACCGGCACAGGGCCAGGCTCACTCCAAAAATCCCTGCCGTAATTCACTCCTGAGAGCCCCAGAAGGGGCTTCCAAGGGGCTACGGTTCTCGACCAGCTTCAACAGAGTGGGGCCCTTTTTCTTAGCAAGGCTTTTGCACCAGCCCGAGAGCCCGCGGAGTGTGAGCGCAGAGCGGCACCAGCCCGAGTGCCCGCGGAGTGTGAGCGCACAGCGGCACCAGCCCGAGTGCCCGCGGAGTGTGAGCGCACAGCGGCACCAGCCCGAGTGCCCGCGGAGTGTGAGCGCACAGCGGCACCAGCCCGAGTGCCCGCGGAGTGTGAGCGCAGAGCGGCACCAGCCCGAGTGCCCGCGGAGTGTGAGCGCACAGCGGCACCAGCCCGAGTGCCCGCGGAGTGTGAGCGCACAGCGGCACCAGCCCGAGTGCCCGCGGGGTCTGGCCGGGATGGGAGGGGCGGCGGGCGGAGCGCTCGTTTCCTTCAGCAGCGGTGGCGACACCCGGAGCCCGGCCAGGCGGCGGCGGAGCTCGGAGGCGGCTCCAGCCCAGCTGCGACCCGCGGTGGTGCTGCCCCAGCTCCCGGAGGCTGCGCTTGTCTCCGCACCTGCTGCCGCACCTCTGGGCAGCGCCGACAGCGCAGCCACAGCTGCCACCGCCCTCCTGAACCCCCGCACGGCCGGCACCAGCAGCGACCTCTCACCGTGTCCCTTTCAGGGTACCATCAGCGCGGCTGGAAAGCTGTTCCCGAGGCCGAGCTCCCAAAGGATCTGCCAGCAGCACTCCTGATGTCTCCCAGGCAAGGTGCTGTTTGTTCTGGGCAGAGAGATGCTGCCTGTGAGCTGGAGAAGAGTGAATTCTGCTCCATTTGTGGAGTTGTGAATGGGCCCCAGCATCCCCAGGAGGGACCAGCAGCCGCGGTTCCACACTTGCCTGAGGCCCAAGAAGCCTCTTGGCATAAGGAGGAGGATGCCACTTGTGAGCATGCAGTGAGTGCAGATGTGGAGAATGGATTCTGCACCAAAAATGGGAGTGTGAGGGAGCCCCTGGCTCCCCAGGGAACACCAGCAACCAACAATGAACACAAAAGGAACCTCAGAAGATTCCTGGGTGAGTGCAGGGCCACCCCTGTGGCTTAAAGGCTGGGGACAGTGTCCCCTCCCAAGGCCAGGGCTGGCAGGTGTGTGGCTGTTTCCCCATGTCTGGAAGAGGCCTCGTGCTCTGCTGGGCCCCATCCGTGGCTGGAAGCAAGAGCCCCAGCTGACCCCAAGGCTGTGCAGTTCTCCTGCTGCAGCCTGTGCCCACAGCTGTGTCCCTGCCTGTCCCCACAGCTGTGTCCCTGCCTGTGGCCAGGCTCTTGGCTCTCTGGCTGCCAGCTGAGGGAGGGCCACACTGCCTCAGGACTCCCTGCTCTGCTCCCTGGCCATAGGCTGAGCAAATTGCAGGGCCGGCTCTGCTTCTGGCAGCCAGCAGCTCTTTCCTGCTCCAGGTGAATGGTTCAGGTGCCATCCCGTGGGCACGGTGGTGCTGATTCTGCTGCTCCTGGTGCTGGCTTTGGGGGCAGCCTTGGCTGTGCTGGCAGGTAAGGGAGGGGCAGCAGCCTGGGCCCAGCCCCTCGGGGCAGAGTGGGCTCCCTGCTCCCTGCACAGGGGAATCCTCAGACCTTCTCCTCTTCCCCCTGCAGCAGCACCACAGCTTCCAGTCACACCTGCGACTCCGCTGTTGGTTCTGGGCTGTCCCCATGGTTGGGTGGGCTACAATGGGGTCTGCTACTACTTCTCACGGGATTTCAGCACGTGGGAGCAGGGTCAGGAACGGTGCTCCGAGCTCAATGCCTCCCTGGCCATTGCCAAGGATGAGGAGGCCATGGTGAGTGAGGGGCTGCGGGCGCTGTGGGGTGGCTGAGGGCAGCCTGGGGGCGCTCCTGGGCCGGGCTCGGGGCTCGTAGGGCCGGGGCTGCAGCCCTGGGCCGGGGCCTTGCAGGGAAGGAGCCCCGGCGTGCGGGGGGAGCCCCGGGCACGTGTCCCCCCGAGAGGCCGGGGCAGCTCCCACTCCTCTCTCCTGGGCAGGATCTGCTCTCCCGCCTCTGTGGGAATTTCGGTTACTGGCTCGGGCTGCGCAGACGGGGCGAGCGCCTGCACTGGGGGGACGGCAGCAGCTACAGCTCCCGGTGAGTGCCGGGGAGCCGGGCAGGGCCTGGGGGCACAGGGGCACAAGGGCTTCCCCTGGCAGCCAGCGCTGCCTCTGCTCCTCCCTGCAGGGTTCCTGTCCTCTGCAGTTCCCAGTGCGTGTCCCTGGCTGACAAGAGATTGAGGAGTGACAACTGCTCCAATGAGCGGCCGTATCTCTGCAGCACGGCCCAAGCTCCCCTGTAACAGGGGCTGCAGAAAGTGTCTTCTGCACACTGGGCAGTGCCAGCTTCACCTCTGAGCCCAGCACAGCGCTGTCCTTCCTCAGCTGCGCCCTGTGCCTTGCACTTCCTCTCAGGGTCACCTCAGTGCCTCTGCATCCCCAGTGCCAGCGCTGGGCTGGGGCTGCAAAGGAAATGTCTCTGCAATCCATCCTGCCACCGACGCTGCCTGCAGTGAGGGCATTGCCCTCATGACACAATAAGCTCCAATGGGAAATCCAAATCTTCCTGGCCTCTTGGAAATCATCACCAACTGGTCTGAATGTGGCACTTGTGAACTGTCTTTGGAAGAGGAGGAAGAACCGCTGACACATGCTGAGGAGGAATCCCACTATTGGCATCAGGCACCTGACTGTGGGCAATGGTCTGTCTGTCTGTCCAAGTTGACTATATGATGCTTTTAGCCCAAATCGTCTTCTTCTCTTTATGCTGAATAATAAGTTTTGCCTCTTTAAGACATCTTCCAGAGAGTGAAGAGGGGAGAGAAGAAGCGCGCATTTTGTTTTCAGACACTGCTCTCACTCCTCCACATTCCTGCTCCTAGACTGTGTTGTCTGCAGATGGACAGACAACAGGATCGAGCTCTCCTTGGCTTTTAGTTAGTTGAGCTAGCTGAGGCAAAGAAGTTCCCTGGACTCTGTTTTTTTTCCTTTTCCCCTTTTTTCGGACCTGTTTGAACCTGCTCTGGACTGAACACCCAGAAGAGCACCAGCAGCTCACACCTGTGGCCTGCCAGCCTGGGCCTGGGGCACAACATTTCCAGCACCAGAGGGACTGATGGGAGACTCAGTGAGCTGAACTGCAACCTGGAGGAGGACTTTCTCAGTTTGTCACCTCTTTTGGAGCAGCAAGGGGTTTTATTGTTTAATAAATAGTTTTATTCCACTTTTCTCCAAGGAGGTATTTTCTCCCAGATTGGTTGCAGGGAGGAGCCAAATGAATCTGCTTTCCTAGAGGAGCCCAAATTTGCCCTGAACCAGGACACTGTCACAAAGGATCTGACTGTCCTCCTGTGGGAGGAATCCCAGGCTGGAGCAGTGTAGGGGGATAGAATATAAGAAAATAAAGATGGTCCAGAAAGTAATCTTACCCCTAAGGAGTTGCAGATGGGGCAATTAGCAAATATTAGGAATAGGCCTGATTTTAACAGGCCACAGCTGTAACCAATGAGAAGAAGAGTGCTATGAAAGAGTGGGCTGGCAGGTTGGGAAGGGAACTGGAGTCAGTTGGCCACTTTGTGAAGAATGAAGAGTCAGTGCTCTGAGGAGCTGCCCAGGAGAAAACACCAAGAAAGTGTGAAACATCTGCGATAAGGAGACAACAGTATGGAACCCCCGTGATGACAACAGAGCAGGACAGATTTGTCTCCCTGAGGGGGATGCAGTGACATGATGTGACTGTAACCCCCATCCCTCTGTGTCACTGTGTGGGGAGGAGAGAGGGAGGGAATTGTGGATAAAGTGAAGCCCAGGAAGGAGAGAACAGTGTGGAGAAGGTGCATTTTTAGGATTTGGCAGCCTACTCACTCTCTTGTTGTGATTTCTTTCATAATACATTCAATGGAAATTAATGGCCCCACTCCAGGCTTCCAATGCCCATGATGGGTGAGAGATCTCTGGCTGCCTTTCTTGAGAGCCCCGAGCCTTTCCTGCTGTGTTCTGTTGCCTGCCCAGGGGCAGGAGCAGAGCCTCAGAGCGCTTTTCTGGCCCCAGGCACCTGGCCTGGCCCAGCCCAGCCCAAGAATCCCTGCCAGCATTCCCTGCACCATTACCCAGCCCCACGGCGGCTGCGGCTCCGCGGGCAGGCGGCTCCAGGAGTTCAGAGTGGGCAAAATGGGAGCGAGGGACAGGAGGCAGCTGGTGCCAGTGGGGGAAATGGCTTTGCTGGAGCTGGCAGAGAGAGGAGGAGGGAGAAAGTGGTGCCAAATAAATGGGACAGGTGGGCATTTTGCTTTCCAGCTCTGTGGGAGGAAAGGAAGAGCTGTCAAATCCATCCAGGAAAAGAGGGGAGAAGTAGCAGATGGTGGAAATCTCTTACAATTGGGATTGATTTGATCTGCCTGAACTGCAAAAGCCAACAGTCTCCAAGCACCACCAGCGCTGTGATGTGCCTTGCCCTGCCCCTGCCCTGGCTGCAGCAGCCGCCTGTTGGGACGGGCCCTGTTCTCTAAAAGAGCTGCACCCAGGGACCATTGGGGCAGTGCTGGGTAAGAAGTGAGGAATGGCAAAGGGTGGGAAGTGTCAAGGGAATAAAATAGAATGGTATAAGAAAAAATGATAACAAAACTGCACCAGGAATGGCCACTGACCGCTGTCACCAAAAGAGCTGCACTGAGGGACGGCCACACATTTCCATTCCCACACGGAAATGGTGGGACTTGCCTTCTCCTTAATAACCATCAGTGGCATTTCCAAGGCCAGCAGGTACACTCAGACATCCAGAATCATCATTACACTGGAAAAATGGGGTTGGCATCAGCTGTGACACACATCAGGAAGAGCACAGCAGCAGAAATAGGGATTTCCCAGCTCCCTCCCAGGGAGAACAGTATCAGCACAGGGACAGAAAATGCTGATAGAACATCCTTTCCCACTGCTCCCTGTGCTCAGTTGGAGGTAGCATCCTTTAGCTTGTGCTCTTCAGTGGGTTTACCCATGGAAATACTGCAGAGGGATGCAGAAGATTTACTAGCATGTTAAAAAGAAGCTGAAAACCCAGGAAGGATGACATTTGGGATAGGGACACAAGCAAATTCACACATTATATGATAATTCAATATGGCTGCTGTGAGTATGCAGCATGGAGGACAGCTAGATAAAACTAGAAGAGATTCCAAAACTGTTTGGCCTTGCAACAGCAGCTAAGGTTAATAACCCTCTCCAATTGAAAAAAAAAAGGAAATCTGCTCAGAACTCATTTGGATCACCATCCCTGCAGCCATTGGGCATCACGACTCCTTTTCCCCACCAAACTACAAAGGCTTTCCTGGAAATCTCTCATTTTCTGCTTCCTACCTGTAACAGTGCTCAGGTGACCTGTGTGATCTCTCTGAATGAACTGAGCTTTACCTTCACAGCAGCTCTGCTCTTCACTGCCCAGCCTCGTGCCCTTGGCAATTTCCATCTGGCAGCATTGGCCTGCTGAAGGAGAGGCTCTGTTCCAAACATGCCCACTTTGCAGCAGTACCCAACGATGGGATGTTCTCCTGCCTGGACTAATCCCTTTGCTTCTCAGCTCCAGCTGCAGCCCACAGACCTGGCAGTTGTTCAGGAGCCTTTGCCATGGCACGGCCCCACCCAGCTGATTCCCAGCCTGGCAGCACAGTGGGCACACATTCCCAGCCCTGGCCGTTGTTTCCATCCCGCTGCAAGGAGCCCGGTTGTTCCCGAGTGTTCCTGCAGGAATCCAGGCCCAGGTGTCTGTGGGGTTTGCAGGGGCTCTCTTGGGGGTACCTGAGGGTGTCTGTGGGATTGGGGAGGGGGGCCTGAGCTCTGGGGGTGTCTCTGGGACTCCTGCTCTTTTCCCCTCCTATTTCCCATCCTTTTTCCTCTCATGTTTTGCACCCTTTTCTCCTCACCTTTCTAGAGCTTTCCTGCTTCCTAAATGCCACCTTTTCACCATTATGCCATCTACATTTTTAACTCTTCCCCCCTTTTCTGCTGCCATTTCGCCCCCCATTTTGGTGCCTTTTTTCCTGGTTTTTCTGCCCTTCCCCCCCATTTTTATTGCTGCCCTCTTTTCCCAATTTTTGCCCCTTTTTTCCCCTCCATTTTGTTCTTCTTCCATTTTTTTGCCACCTCTTTTTGATACCTTCTTTTCCACCCCTTTTCTACCAATTTTTTCCACCTTGTTTTTTTTGCTGCCCTTTTATGCCTCATTTTTTCCAGCTTTTGTGGCCCCTCAATTTAAATGCCTCAATGGAATCAGTGGGGGTTTCTACCAATTTCAACCCTAAAAAAAAGGCACAACAGAGATTCCTTGTCAATTTAAACTGAAAGATGATGAAAATTGAAGGTTTGTTCTCATTTTAGACCTATAAAATCCCATCATAAAGGGTGTTCCCTGATCTATTTCAGCAAGAGAATGGGGATTCCCCATCCATTGATAGCCCTGAAATAATGGCCAAGGCAGGGTTTCTTTCCATTGATCCCCTCAACATTGCAGGTGAATGGGGATTCCCCCAGTTGAAACACAGACTATAAGGGAAAATTAACCAGTTAAACAACTCCAGAATACACTTGGACAGAAATCCATTGAAAGGGAACCACACACCACTTGTCTGCCCTAATTAATTCCATCAGGCTTCCTTCACTAAAAACACTCTCAGAATTGAAAGTGGAGATGCCTCGTGTGTTACCTCAAAGCAGAGGAAGAGGCAGCATGGAAATGCTTCTTCTTCCATGGCAAACTCTCCTGGGAGCACTCCCAGAGCCTTGCAGGGCTCCCCTGGGAAGCTGCTGAACAAATGGAAAGAGTTGGGATGAGCAGAGCCCCAGAGAAATCCCAGCCCCACTGATGGAAAAGTCAGATTATCCAAGCAGCAACAGCAGCTGGAGTGTTTGCAAAAGAGCAGCTTTGTTCTGAACCTCAGCTTAGGAGTTCTGCTCATGCACTAAGGGAGTCCTTCCATCTATTTGGACCTTTTCTATAGCACTGGCCACACAGCAGTTCAATGTGATCATGTTCTTCAACTCAATTATGTTTTAAAGTATCTAAACTTGATCTAGCTACTCATCAGTGGAGAATTTTATGTATTTTCAGAGTAAATTACCA